AAAGATACAAGGAATAATATGGTATCTAGTACAGGTAATATAAACTAAAATCTTTAGACATGAAAAAATAAATCAGTGTGCCTTCTTCTATACTTAAGAAAAGTACAATCTGACAAGAAGTAGTTAACTACTGAACTAAAAACCAGATATAAGATTAAGCCCATCTGAATTAATGTTTAACTGATAAGAGCTATATGAAATGCGCTGTTAATGAAACTTCTGACTCTGGGTAGGGATGACCATTCGTTGGTGAGAAAAGTTCAGACTATATTATTTCAATTACACATCGGTAAAAAGACCTTTGGAGAGAGTAAACACTGGGTGATTAGAAATCATCCTGCCTGTGTTATGTAATAATAACTACATGAGGTTAACAAATAACCCCTAATGTTATTTGTTAACAATAACATCCTATTTTTAACAATGCAATTAACTCCTGTTCCTAGAAGGAGAAAGGGAAAAGTTAGGACTGACAAGTTTGGTAACAAAACAAATTGCTAATTTTTTTTTTTTTTACCCAAATTCCTTTCTAATATTGAGTTTAATATGTGGAGACCTATCTGCTAAAAACTGAAACCAGTAATTTATATTAATTCTACTAAAAGGACTTTAATCACTAGTATTTAGGCTTGCAATTGAACCCAGAACAGGCTGCTGTTATTGTTGGAGGCCATCGAGTCTATTTCAACTCACAGCGACTCCACGTGACAGAGCAGAACTGCCCCATAGGGTTTTCTTGGCTGTAATATTTAAGGAAGCAGATCACCAGGTCTTTCTCCCATGGAGGCAGTGGATGAGCAAAAACCACCAATCTTTCTGTTAGCAGCTGAGTGCTTAACCATTGCACCATCAGGGCTCCTTAAATTAATAGGTAGAAGACCTTATATATATTAGTATTCCTTTGACCAAGCACAATTACCTAAAGGATGTTTCTGACGTAGTCCTATTTAAATACCCACTAAACTTTTATAATGCTCAACGGCAACTTTTAAAACATCACATTACATAGACACATCCTAATTGTACCTTAATATTGACCTATTGCTAATACACTGTGGTATATTTGTGCCAAGGGTAGCACTGTGACAAATATGGAGGATGTTTTAACTTTACTGCCCTGAAGCAGACTTTCCTAAATCTTCAGTCATCCTCTTCAGTCTGGTATGTATAGTGTTCAGTATAGACAGCATACCAACGAGGAAGCAAAATGGTAGACACTGCTTAAATTTTAATTATTAAAGATGAACTCGATACTGAAGAAAAAAAATCGGTCACCCTGGCAGGATGTTAACAAATCAAGTCATTATTCTGAAAACTGATATACAGAAAGAACCAAACATTTATTCTGCCTGCCTTTTCCTTAAGGAACTGTCATCAAATAATTGAGGAGGGAAATTTCTTTATGTAAGTGTTCTACTAAAAAAAATAATGAAAATTGATAGAGTTAGAATATGACTGTTTTGCAAATCCCTAATGAAGTAACGCATACAGGCAAAAATTACTGATGATCATTACATCCAAGATTATTCTAAACCTTCCAAAAATTGAACCTGAATCAGATCAAGCCTCTAGGTCATTTGATATTTCAGAACAAGTCTGTAGTTCCTCTCTGTACAGAGGAACAATCAAATAAAACCAAGGGAATTCAATCAGCAAAATTGACAGTGAAAAACTCTAAGATCAAACACCTGGTTTCTTCAACAACTAAATGGCAAGAAGTAATACTTTGTTTAAATAGAGTCAAACAAACTAGTAACTGTGGAGGGGCGGGGAGAACATTTATGAATGTTCAGGAAGGTATCTGATGATTTAAGGAATTATTGCACTGTGATTATGTTTTTAAAAGGAGTCATTATTTTACAGAAATATTTTTAAGTATTTATGGATAAAATCATGTTGTCTGGGATCTGCTTTTAAAAAAATAAGCAGTAGATAGAGGGGAAATGGAGGGTTATATATGAAGCAAGACTGGACATGAGTTGATAAGTGGTGAAATTGGGTGACAGATAAGAGTTCACTATAATATCCTGTCTACTTCGTGAATGTTTGAAATTTTCCATAATAACTTTAAAAAATATAAAGATGAACTGAAAATTCTATAAAACAATCCACAGAATAAGGACAAAAAAACTTCTCTCTCAGAGGTCAAAACAAACAAAAATCTTAATGGTCTAACTAGGCTAGCATTCATCAACACATGCACACTTACATACACACACACACACACACAATTACTTAACAAACGAGAAAACTGAAACTCAAAAAGGTAAGTCTTGCTCAAGGTACAGAACAAAATAGCAGCAGAGCCAAAACTAGTCTCTACAATTATAAGCCCAGAAAGAGGTCTAAGAAGCCCTTGGAGCTAAGTTGTACAGAACATTTTAAAAAGAAGATCTAAACAGTTCTGAACTAGTCTGAAAGCCTATCAAAAGTGTTAAAAAAAAAAAAAAAAAAAGGGAGGGGGTCTTAAAAGTTAGTCAGAAAAGAGGTGGTTTGAGGGGCTAAAAGCTAGAGTGAGAACAGTAAGGCTAGAGAGAAAGTCTAGAGAACAACTGGTGTTTATTTGATAATAAGCCTATCTATGGAGCAGAAGTGTTAAATCTATCGTATATAGTTGGTAGCTACTTGATTTAAAGTGTCTGCAGAAAAGAAAGTTGTTGTCCAGCTTAAAAGTAGTTTACCAATGCACTGGTGAAACACACAATCATGATTTTAAATAACTATTTTTTAAAAATAATTGTACACAAATTTTAAATCTTAAGTGTACACATGATTTAAATCTTAACCATAAAAATGGGATTTATCTTCCCGTTCAAGAGAAAGTCCTCAAAATGTAACCATGAAGGTGAGTAGCGTCTGGGATCTTAAAAGCTTGTGAGCTGCTATCTAAGATACTCCACTGGTCTCACCCCATACGAGCAAGGGAGAATGAAGAAAACCAAAGACACAAGCGAAAGATTAGTCCAAAGGACTAATGGACCACAGCTACCACAGCCTCCACCAGATTGAGTCCAGCACAACTAGATGGTGCTCAGCTACAACCACTGACTGCTCTGACAAGGATCAGAATAGAGGGTCCTGGACAGAGCTGGAGAAAAAGGTAGAAACAAAATTCTAACTCACAAAAAAGACCAGACTTACTGGCCTGGAGAGACTGGAGAAACCCCGAGAGTATGGCCCCTGGACACCCTTTCAGCTCAGTAATGAACTCGTTCCTGAGGTCCACCCGTCAGCCAAAGATTAGACAGGCCTATAAAGCAAAACGAGACTAAAGGGGCACACCAGCCCAGGGGCAAGGACTACAAGGCAGGAGGGGACAGGAAAGCTGGTGATTGGGAAACCAAGGTTGAGAGGGGGAAAGTGTTGACACGTTGGGGGGTTGGTAATCAATGTCACAAAACAATGTGTGCTAATTATTTAATGAGAAGCTAGTTTGTTCTGTAAACCTTCATGTAAAGTAGGATAAAAAAAAAATTTAAGCATGAAGGGCCTTCATTATTGAGAATAGACATTTTCAAAAGAGTAAAGGTTCAAATTTATACTTAAAGTTGTTAAGAAGAATAAAATTCAGTACATGCCAATGAACTATACTATCTCTTCAATAAGCACTGTGTCACTTAAACATGAACTTGATCTAGAAATAACATAACTAATAAGACAATGTAACCTCATTTACCTTTTGTCATTCTGAAAATAGTAAAACCTAGTAAGTTTGATGTATTTGGAAATGAATCATTTTCAAACTACTGACCATTCATGCTAACAATGCATTTTAATTTTTGGCTAATGTGTTAGTGACTACTTTCAAAAAGGTCTGGTGAATTGGACTCCTTTTTTATTGGAAGAGTGGTCTATTTTTTAAAAAGACATTTCTGGCATTAAATTGGACAAAACTAGAAGCTATTTTAAAAATCCATATCAAACATTTCAAAGTAACAGTACATGTCCATTAGTAATTATAATAAATATCACCCAAGGAAGTTGAAGAAAATACCAGTGTGATCTCTAAAATTTAATATTACAGATAACTGAGACCACTGTAAAAATAACCTAAGAAGAATAGCTCATTCTTTAACGAGCTGGAAGTATAAAAGGAGCCTGAAGACATAACACAGAAATGGAGGCTGTGACATGAGAACTTCACACCCACATCTAAATTAACTTCAGTAATAGACTACAGGTGTTTCTGTGACCCTTGCCAGTATCCTCAAAGTTGTAATGTAGCTCCTCACTAGAAAAGCATGTCTGTAAGTAGTACCCTTCTCCTCCAATAATCTAAAATCAAAGTATTAATGTAAAAATTCATACACAGACAAGGAGAGAAAAGGGAAAAATTTTTGAACGACAAAAACAAAAATAATGAGTCATATTGGATAAAAACATAAATTTGAGTCAGGCAGTACCATTCTAGGCTCAGCTCTGCCGTTCACTAGCCATTTAACCCACGCATCAGTTTTCTCACCAGTAAAATGGGGCTAATAACAATGACCACCTCACGGTGTTGTTGTTAGGATCAAATGAGACAATGCTCATAAAGTGCTAACACAGTGGCAGGCACATAGTAAGTACCTTGATGAATGACCTTTTTATACAATAAATAAACTTTTTATACATTTAAAGGGGTTAATTATGAAAAAAATGATTAATGCTCTTCTCATAAAAAGTCTCTTACCTACTACCACTTGTGGGAGAAAAAGAAAAGCACAAAGAAAGATATTTTATTTTTCTGTTAAGGTCATAACTTTACTTATATAATTCTGGGATCACTGAACACAACCATCAAACAAAAACCACACCCTATAGTTTTTCATAGAAGGCCCATACTGTGTATATGTTCAAACCCAAAAAAGTGGAAAACAGAAAATCAGTTACATGTTTTTAAAACTCGGGTTATTACTATGAATAAGTACACTGTTAACTGTTAAATAGAGCAATAAGGCCAGTCACAAATTTTATAACAAAGTATTTTAAAGTTTAGAAATAAAAAGGAAAGCAGTTACCTTTGTACAATAAAGCATCCAAAGTTCAAAGAGCCTCTCTCTGGATGCCATTCTGGCTTTCGCTCTGCCACTTTTTTTCCTCAAAAAAAATTATGTTCAAGACCACGGCATGTTCATTTTATTTTCCACGTTTTTCAGCCGTTACAGTAAAGCTCAAAGCAGGAGGGAAAAAAAAAAAGAAGGGAAACAAATGGACTGTCTTCTGGTCAATAAGAGTTTCAGCAGTTACTCCAACGTATGTTCAAGAAGTGGTACTTGGGCAATTAAATAAATCTGTGAAGAGAAAAGTACCCAAAGGTTTGTTAGAAAAAGGGGCCATATTAAAAAATTTAGACTAATCACAAAGTAGAAACGATTTATATGCTTCACTTCCCACAAACTGGCTAAATGTTTACACTGATTAGATTTCATAGAACCTTGTATTTCAGGGAGAAAAATCACAGCTAACACGAATATTTCACATCAATACAGAGAACACTCTGAAGCAGACTCATAAAAATGCATACTCATAACCAAAAATGCGTCCAGTGATAACAGCAATAATCACAGTTAAGTCTATTTTCTACAGACATAAAGAAAGACATATTTTCTACAGACATATTCCAAAGACATAAAACCTCCTAGCATTTTCTAGTCTTCTGCTTAAAAGTTGTTGAGAATGTTTGTTGTGTGGCAGGGCGGCGGGGAAGGGGTGAGGAATTCCTGGTTTGTTTAACAATCCTCTAAGAGTGAAAGTCTACCTACCCACCTGGCCTCTCTATCTCTCTATCCAGGAAGAAGAAAAGAGCACGCACACCCGGGAAAGGGAAACACATCCCGGGAAAGCCTGTGAGTGTTTTCGGGGATCTTTAAATTTCCTCCTCGCATCTCAGACAACAGAATTGGAGGCCAATTTAAGGTCTGCCAAGCTACCAAGAGAAGATATAGAAATGGGGCAACGCGAGCTCGGCGTCTCTGGACCCGCGACATCCATGCCCGCCCGACAGCACTGGGACACACCCGGGACAGCCTCGCCCCCTCACAGCCGCCGCTACTCTACAGTCCACACCAACACCAAGCACCCAGGGCCCTCCCGTTTCTCGCCCCGCGGTTCCCTATCCCCTCCGACCCGCTTCCCCTCACCGCGCTCACTTTAGGGGCCGCGCCGCCACCATTCGGCAGCCATCTAACTTGCTTCCCTCGTCCCCCTCCCAAGCCTAAGCCCCGTGTCACCCCACAGGCAGGCAGGACGCCGGGAGAGGGAGAGAGTGCGGCGACAGCGCAAGACGGGGAGCGAGGGGCGGGGCTGCCCCCTGGCCTAAACATTCCGGCCGCTAAGGCTTTATCCAGCCTCGGGGGCGGCCGCTGTTCATTGGTCGTGCGGGCCGGGAGGGGCGAGTGTGTCCTGAAGCCACGCCCAGCATACCTGCGCAGCCGCAGTCCACAAGGCTCCTGCAGCCTTTCCCTCGGCTGGCACCAGGCCAGGCGATCTGGTCAGAGTTTTTCCCGATTCGGGGAGGGGGAGAGAGAACGAGAGAGAACGGACGCGCTGACGTAGAGCCCCGCCCCTATTGGGGTGGGCTGAAGGAGGGCTCCGCTGATGGCGTCATTTCCGCGAATCATCCGAGGGCGAGCAGTGGTTTTAACTACAGGGCATTGGTTTGATTTCTTGCTGTGGAAGGAGGGTTGGTCTCTTGAGTATACAGTGATGTAAAAATAGATAAACACCTCGCCCAAAAATTCATTTTCTTAATCGTGTTTGTGCCTCGTATTTCCATCGCCGTCGCTGAGTGTTATCTCCAAAGGGCTTAACACTAATAACAAACACACACACACACTCCAAACCCATTGCCATCGAGGCGATTCCGACTCGTAGCGACCCACACACACACACACACACACACACACACACACACACACACACACACACACACACA